CACTATCTTGAAGAGATATTTGCAACCCCAATGTCATTGCAGCATTATTTATAATAACCAAGACATGGGAAAGAACCTAAGTATTCATCAGTGGATAAATGGATAAATGAAATATGTCATATATATGCAATGTAATACTATTCAGCCATTAAAAAGGAAAATTTGCCATTTGTGACAACATAGATGGACCCTGAGGGCATGTATGCTAAATGAAATAAGTCAGACAGCAAAAGACAAGTACTGTATGATCTCACTTATACATGAAATGTAAAAAAGCAAACTTATAGAAACAAAGATTAGGTTTGTGCTTTTTAGAGTCAAGAGTGGGGGTGGGAGAATTGGATAAAGGTGTTTAAAAGGTACAACTTCAGTTATAAGGTAATAAGTTCTGGGGAAGTAATGTACAACATGATGACTATAGTTAAATACTGTATTGTATATTTAAAAATTGCTGAAAGAGTAAATCTGGAAGTTCTCATGACAAGGAGAAAAATTGTTAGCTATATGAGATGATGGCTATTAACTAAACTTATTGTGGTGATCATTTCGTAATATATACATGTATCACATCATTATGTTGTACACCTTATACTATGTTGTATATCAACTATTTATTGATAAAACTGGGGAATAATGGAATAGTTTCTACCATTCCTACATTCTCTAAAAAGTGGAAAAGGAAGAGAACTTCTCAACTTATTTTTATAAGGGTAACATTATCATGCTACCAAAACTAGACAAGGACGTTACAAGAGAGACCATTTTAGACTGATATTTGTTATGAACATTGCATTCAGAAAATTTTTTATCATATTAATATATCATTCTGGACAACATTGAGAATAGTGCATCTTGACTAAATGGGGTTTTACCCTGGAATTTAAGGTTAGTTTATATTGAAAATCAATGTAATTCACTGTTTCAACAGAAAAAAAAAGAAAAATAAATAAGCAATTATCTTAATAGATGAAGAAAAAGCAACTGACAAAACTCAACATTCATTCATGATGACTTTCAACATAAATGAATAGAAAGTAATATCCCCAATATGATGAAGGATACCCACAAAGTAACCAATAAATATTATACTCAATAGTGAAACATTACCCTTGTTCACCTAAAGATTGACAATAAGGTAAGGATACACATTCTAACTCTGTTAAGCAAACTTATTAGAGACTCTAATCAGAGTAACTTTCAAAGAATAACTATCATGATGATTGGTAAGGAAGAAGTAAAATTATCTTTATTTGTAGATGATATTATTGTATAAATAAAATGTAAGAAATCTACCAAAAATACTAGAATAGATGACAATTCATAAGTCAAGGCACCAACTTCAAGTGTTTTTTCCCTTTCCTGATTTTTATCATTTTACTGTAAAAAATATGTAAATATATAGGATACTACAGTTTTCTTAAGAAATGCTCACTGAATTATTTAAAGGTAAATGGATACAATACTTCAGAACTGCTGTCAAATTGTTTAGAAAAAAACTAAATTTCTAACTTCTAATTGATTTTGAGAAAAGAGACTTCTACCAGCCTCTCAAATAGTTTAGAATCAGAGGAGAGAGATATATAATAATAAAGCAAATGGAGCACAATATAAATACATGAGGAATATGTCTAAAGGATATGCAGATGTTTCTTGAACTGGTCTTTTACCTTCTCTGTAAGTTTGCACTTGTTTCAAAATAAAGATTTAAGAAGTAACAAAATATATTTCCAAGACTGGTAATATTATGATGGAAAATAAAAATACTATTAAAATCTTTAAAACATTAGGTACATAGGAATAAATTTAACAAAGAGTGGCAAAATCTTAATACTGAAAACTAAAACATTGCTGAAAGGCATTAAAGAAGACCTAAAGAAGAAGTTAAGCCACATTCCTGAATTGAAAGGCTTCATGTTGTAGATGTCAATTCTACTCAAATTATACTATAGTTTCAATACAATATGAATTAAACTCTCAGCAGACTTTTTTTTTTTTTGGTAGAAACAGACAAGATAGTTTTTAAATGCATATGAAACTACAAAAGGCCTGACCAGGTAAATCAATACCCTAAAAAATAATAAGATAATAATTGGAAGAGTTGCACTACATGATTTCAGGAATAACCAGAAAGCCACAGAAACTTAGAGATTGTAATGGAGGCAAAAGAACACACAAATTGATCGGTTGAACTGAATAGTGTTTCCAGAAATAGATCTATATTTATATGGTCAATTGATTTTCAACATAGGTGCCAAAGCAATTCAATAGGGGGAAATGGCACTGGAACAATTAATAACCGGATGGAAAATACAATGATGGTTGACATTTCTTATACTATATTGTAAAATTAGTCTGAGACACGCTACAGCCTTAAATCTAAAAGCTAGTACTGTCAATCTTCTAGATGAAAAGATGGAATATAACTTCACTATATTGAATAGACAAAGTAGTCATTTATCATAAAAGAAAAAAATAAATCAGACATCATTAAAATTAGAAACTTCTCATCAAAAACCCTATTAGGAAATCAAACAGCTAACCACAGACTGGGAGAAAATATTGTTCAAAATGTGCATCTGACGAAAAAATATATACATTTCAATAATAAAAGACAACCCAATGAAAAAGTCAAAATGTGTGAACAGAAACTTGTAAAGAAGTAACAAACTCATGAAAAAGTACTCAAAATTGTTAGACATTAGGAAAATATAGATTAAATCATAATGAGGTAACACTACATACCATTAAAATGAATAAACTTAAAACAACAACAAAAAAGGTAACAGTTTTAACTGCTGATGAGGATGTGGAGAATTGCAAATCTCATTCTTTGTGGGTAGAAGTGTGACTTTACTTTAAAAGAATGATTTTGTAGTCTCAAAGAAAGTTAAACACACATATATAAATATATATGTGTGTGCATATATATCTCAGGAGCTCCATTCCTAGATATTTGCATGAGAAATAAAAACCTGTTTCCACCAAAGGATTTGTTTAAAACACGTCTTTTTTAGAGAAGCTTTATTCACAATAGCTAAAAACTGGAAACTATCCAACTGTCCATTAACAAGAAATGAATAAACAAAATGAGGCATATCAATACAATGACATTCCACTCTGCAATTTAAAAAGAAACAGAAGACTGATACACTGAACAATATGAATGAATCTCAAAAATGTGGTGTGAAAGAAGCCCTACACAAAAGAGTACATAATACATGATTCCCATTATCTGAATTTCTAAAACAGGCAAAACTAATCTATGGAAAAAGGTTTGGAAGAGTAGTTGCCTTATTGGAAACTGTGAAGGGGCACGAGGAAATGTGTTTGGAAGTGTAAAGGTCATATATCTTGATGGGATGTAAATACATTTATCAAAACTCATCACATAAACTTACGATCTGTACATTTCACTATATGCAAATTACACTTCAGTATTTTTAAACATAATTTTTAAATGGTCTGTAAAAGATAGCAATAAAGAGGAAAAAATTTATCTGTGATTTGAATGATGAGCATAGATATGAAAACAAAGTTGATGCATCAGCCATTTACTTATTGGGTTTCGCTGACGCTCTTTACATTTAGCTTGCATATATTAGAAATTTTATTTCAATTATCCTTTTTCATCTGGCTGGCTTATAGATTGACCAGGATTTCATCATTTATTTGTTAAACTGTTCTGGATGGTTTCTTACTGAGACGATCACAAAGTCATTTAAAAATTGTTCATGTGTATACGTATTCTAGTTAGAGAAAGCCTGCCATCTCTATATAGGGAAAATCTATATAGGTAAAGTGCTTCAATAGAAAAGATACAGGAACCCTATCGTATTCTTGGATTGATACCTTATTGATATTCTGTTATATTTCTATTCCATTTATGGAGTTTAAAATTTTTACTTTCTACAATAATAGAAATAATAAGACAGATAATTGCATGTGAAGTTTTGGACCTTCGTGGAGTCTAACAAAACTTAGTGACACTAATGAGCAGTGGCACTGATATATTTTTTTGTGTGTCTGTGTTTTACAGATATCAAGGATGATTATTGCTGAAGTGTGACTAGAAAATCAAGGAATGATTTAGTTAGATGTTTTTCTGATGTCTGTATATAGAGAAAATCTATTGGAAGAAAAAAGCCCTGAAAATGGACAATGGTTAATAATAATGTAATAATAATGTGGCTTTAAAAGAGGAAATTGGTAAAAAAAAAAACCTATAAATAAATAATAATCATTATTTACAATTTGAAATGAGTACTTTTGCATAGAGGTAAAATCTCTGACATATTATGATTTAGTTTTCTTCATTTTAATACTTTTATTATAGAGTCATTTTTTCCAGAGAACTACAAGATATTTCATAAGTTACTACATGTAAATAGCATTACTAAAATTTATTTTATCTACACATATTCAGCTTGAGATGAAATTTGTCTAATTTTGCTTTTTGAAATATAATTTTGGTTCTGATCCTATGCAAGATTATTTTAAACACACATAAAATTTTGCCATTTCAAATGTTTAGTTGTTTTCCCTAAGGGGAAAAAATGACTATGGTAAGAGTGGATCGAATGTTGACAAAATGTCCACTTTTAAATTTTATTCCTGGCTGTTTGCCCAGTTTTTTGGAAGGACTTAATATTTGTTTCCTGATGATGCCTAGAGGTGAAAAGAGACAGTGTCTAGTGGTTCAAAACAGTTTGAATGAAGTAATCAAATGGAGCTGGAAAATGATCTTCTGTCTCTGGTTAAGTACAACTGAGAATTCTGAAGGAGTTCACCAAAGAAAAGACTGTAATTAGAATATCATTTCATCCCAATTCTCTACTTATTCATTCAGTTTAAATCAATAATGACAATGTGATCTCTCATGGTATTTCACCAGCTGCAGGAAGGAAAAAAGTGCCTATAGGATAACAGTGTAAAAAAGGTTAAATTGATGCGTGCTCACTTTGGTCTTTAGATGCTTCATGGAGTTAATTGTTTTGTTTCAGAAATATGAGCTGACATCAGATACATGGCTATCTAAACAGGTATGGTATAGGTGGTCTCTTTATGTCACATTTTGTCCATCACACCCATCCTTTCACTCATTTGTTATGTATAACTTTTTCTTAAAAGTTATTTCAGTAGTATGAATTTAAGGCTCTGTTATGTTTGAATAAATGAGTCTTTTTCATTAAAATATTTATAACTTGGGCTCTATGACATCATTTGTAGAAAGATTACTTCTGTTTTTTATAGGACATAAATTGTAGAATAACTACCAGGATCCATTTTCAGGACCATTCATATAAGTAAATGTTTGTGTAGAAGAAGGAGAAAAAGATGTGACCCACAAACCATCAGCATTGCTCAAATCACCCAGAAAATTGACGAAACCTCCACATAACTTGGTTATGTGGAGATTATTCAGGTGAACATTTCTTTCCTTAGATATATCCTAGCTCATAATGCTAGCTTGTGATATAAATGAAGCTGGAATCCAGATGATCACAGAAGAATAAGCAAACATCTCCACAACATGCTTTCATACTGGACATTTCAGAAGGAAGCACAAATAGATTATTCAAATATAGCTGAACCCATTTTACTACTAATTTCATCACTACTTTTTGCAAAGGGAAGTATTTTGTTTGGCTTGTTTTGTTTTGATTTGTTTTGTTCTTTACAGTACTCTTTTATTTTATATTCTCTCCCTGGGTGTCGTATACATCTGTGGTTTCAATTACCACCACCAAGTGTATAGCCCCAGCCAACTCTCTTCTGAGTTCTGAAATATCCAAATTCATGCTTGGCATCTTCTCCTGAATCTGTGAAAGTAACTGCACACTCCACAGGTTCAAACTAAACTTCTCTCTCTTCCAGTCAGTCTGTCTTCTTATCATAGGAGTCAAGGACGTATTTATCCATCCAGCTATCAAAATCATAAACCTAGTGGGGATTTTTAAACATTGTCTTATCCTTATCTGCATATGTTATTATTCATCACCAAGTTATTTTGATTTTACTCTCAAAGATCTCAAGTCAATTTACTTTTCTCCAATTCACAAACACCATACAGGATTAAACTACAGGCGCTGCATTTCCTCCTTAACTGGTGAACTCTCAACCCCTTAGAGTTGAGAGTTCCCCTTAGGAACCTGACAATCTGTTCTCTACACTGCAGACTGGCTGAGTGATCTTTTCAAAATATGTATTTGATTGTCACTACCCACAACACTCATATTCTCTCACAACTAAAACAATTTTTATCTCCCCTTTGTTCTACAGATAAAGACCAACATCCTTAAAGGGTCTACAAAGGATTAAGTTGAAAGCCTTTCCAGCTCTGTGTCATACCATCTTTTCTCCCATTTTTTCCATTAGCCCTCCTCATATACCCAGGACCTTTATGTGAACTCTTTCTTCTGAACAGAGTTCTCTCAACTACTTTCTTACGTGAAGGCTGCTCATTTGTCAAACCTCAGCCTAAATCACCTGCATAAGAAGTCACCTCCTCAACCACACTAAACAAATCACATTCCCCAATAAAAGTTAAAGTCAAGTGTAATCTTTATGAAACACTCATACAGTTAGTTCTGTGACTTTTTTACTACATTCACAAGAGCAGGAAGGTTATTCATTTTTTGTTACCCATTAATACGAATGCTTAATATGGAGTCTGGTTATAAGAAGAGATCCATATATACTTGTTGAACAAATAAAGAAAAAGAGTAAGAAGGATTGTGAATAGGCTAAACCTTTGCTTGTTCAAAGTATAGGCATGTCTATCTATCTATCTATCTATCTATCTATCTATCTATCTATCTATATTATCTATCTATCTATCATCCATCTATCATCTATCTATAGGTAACAATATGAACTATTTAATCTTAGTCAATGTACAAAATGAAATTGGGGAAAAAAAATCTTGTTTATTTAGCCAATAATGGACTCTTACAAAATTAAATTAGATACTTAAAATAAAAATCATTGAAAACAATAACATAATGGATATGGATTTATTCTAAACTGCCTGCGTTATTAAACCTATTTTGCTACCACTTTGATTGCTAGTGACATTCATAATAGTCTAACATACAACAACACAATGCATGCTCTTTTGGGATTATGTTATCTACATTTTAAGTCCCAAATTTATGAATATTTAATAGAAACTTTTTAAAATAAAGAAACCAGTTATCAATTATTCAATAAAAAATGCAGGGAGTAGTTTGTCATGGTTAACTTTTTCTCCAAAAGCTCTAAGGGAATTTCTGGAAATACTTAGAATTCAATGAAATTTAAAGGATGAGAATCTATAATGAGATGAAGCAAGTTTCCAAGAAAATTAGAAATTTAATGTAATACTCATATGCTTGTTTTCTGGATAGTGAGAAGAGCAGAGAGAAGTGGGCATGTTTGCTCTAGCTTTCAAGAGACTTATAGTTGGAATAACCAGTGTAAAAAACATTTGGCCAAGAGGTGGACTTTATTATCCTCAGCTCATTATCCTGTGTGCCATAAATACTGCCTTGTTTAAGGTCATAAATGTAGACAGTTAGACTGGCTCTACTTCTTTATTTGATTGCAGGAAAGGCTCTGCATAGAGCTGTATGTTTATAACTAGTTACATTTCAATGGTGAAAGTTTTTAAACCTAGCAATGTATCGGAGATTATAATTCCCATCTACTCTTTAAAATGAACTATTTCTAAGGTACCAGAATTGGAGGAACAGGGACTAACATAAAAAGCACATTGCTCAGATATCCCCATACCTAATTTATTCTTGGAGCAAAGCACAGGAGGAAAATGTTGAATAAGGGAGAAGCCAATAGTTTGGAGTAAATGTGGTGGATAAAGTGATATATGTAACAAATATTTTTGCCCATTGTACACATGCATTCATCTGTTCAATTATAAGAAGGTCACCTACTGTGTCCTAGGCAATAGAGCTAAAAAAGATAAAATTACAAACTTAGTTTAATTATTACTTGCCTAGTGAAGGAAGTCAACTATATAATAGAGTGTACTGAAAGCCATGATAGAGATGAATACAGAGTACTATTCAGAATCTCTGAGGAGAGATTTCCTAACTAGAAGAGACTCTCTAACTAAGGAAATTTGGAAATGGTTTCTCTTCTGAGTTTAAGTAAAAAATGAGTAAGATTTAGCACAAAAAGGACGACTGAAAGGTTAGGCCAGACAGAAGAAACCCCATGTGCAAAGGCAAAGAGAGAAGTATTCCACAGGGGCAAGAGATGGAACATAGTTGAACAATGTGATTCACTCAGTCAAGTGTCTTGTCAGTATTTATTATATGCCTTGTAATGCAATTTTCCCATCCTTGAATTGTATTACCTCAGAGTTTTAAATTTATTACACATATCATCTTATATTTTCATGAGTGTCCATGAAGTAGACAAGGAAAATAATATTTTTATGTTTCTATCATGGGATGTCATTACTAATAAAGCTAGAATCAGACCCGAGATTATTAAAATAGTTATTAATTTACATATTCATTCAATAAATGATTATTAAGTACAATTTATGTGACAGTCACTGTCCTGGGTGCTGGAGACAAAGCAGTGAAGAATGGAGCTTACATTCTAGAGGAATACCTCCTATCTCTCTATCTACCTACCTACCTATATGCACATATACACATATCCATTCGTGTACAAACAAATGTATGCATACATAAAATATGTATCGTATTAGGTGGTACGGAAAAAAGTAGACAGTAGGCAAAAGTGGGATGAGGGATTCAGATACAGTTGGATGACCTGGCTTTCCTGATCACACTTTATATGGGGTAATCAGGAAACACCTCACTGATAACAGATATAAGAAAGAGGTGAGATCAAGAAAGATCTTTTTGCAGCAACATGGATGGACCTAGAGATCGTCATACTGAGTGAAGTCAGAAAAAGACAAATATCACATAATATCGCTTGTACATGGAATCTAAAAAAAGTATACAAATGAACTTATTTACAAAACAGAAATAGAGTCACAGATGTAGAAAACGAACTTATGGTTTCCAGCGGGGGAAGGGAGAGGGATAAATTGGGAGATTAGAATTGACATATACACATTATATAAATAAATAACTAGTAAGGATCTAGTTTATAGCACAGGGAACTCCACTCAATACTCTGTAATGGCTTATATGGGAAAAGAATCTAAAAAAGTGGATATATGTATATGTATAACTGATTCAGTTTGCTGTACAGCAGAAAGTAACACAACATTGTAAATCAACTATACTCCAATAAAAATTTTTTTAAAAAGAAATAAGTTCCACGGAAAAAGAAAGGAAGGAAGGAGGGAGGGAGGGAAGGAGGGAGGAAGGAAAAGAGAGAGATATGAGAAAGAGCCAGGCAAAGGGTAAAAAAAAGTGCAAAGGCACTGGAGCAGGAAAATGCAGGAAGCAGGAGAAGGAAGGAAGAGGAGAGCAGGAAGAGAGTGGAGGGTCAGATCATCTAAAAATAGTTATGAGCCATTCTGAAGACCTACTGAGGAAACCATACCAAAGCCTTTCTCTATACCATATGTATAATCACTCTCACTAATCTAAAAGAAAGAACTCGGTGTTTTGTTACATAGATCGATTTTCTTAATGTTTCCCCTGGAGCAAAAGAAAGCAATCTATATGTATATCATCCATCATTTAATTTTAAAAAACAATTGTATTGATTTAACATGCTACTAGAGTTTAATTAAAAAAATCATCAAATGGGCATCTGTGTTTGTGTGTTTGTGAAGGGGTGAGCAGTAAGGATGGGAAATTTGAATTAAATTATTTTCAATGGATTCCTTCCAATTTTGCAGGCTTTTCATTTTTGTATTTACAGTAAATTCATGTGTACATCATCAGAAATGTATCTTCAATAACTTGAGTTGTTGAGTAAAAGATTTCAGAAAAATGTATTAAATATTATATGTTAGAAAATTTTCTAAATTAAAAAAATGATTTTGATAAACTGGTGCAGATGTTAACATTTTCTTTATTTTTGAAAGATAAATTTCTAAACACAATCATATCATATGTGAAGATATGAAAGTTCTTTTCTGAACCAATTTAAAAAGTGTCTTCAGTCTAATTGTAAATCATTTCTATCCAGTATGCAAGAAACTTTCCCATCCATCTCATCACTCAAACACACACATATGCCCAATGCATCATTGCGTTCACTTTAAAACATACTGTTATACTTTTATTTTTTTAATAATTCGACAATTTGCCAAACTAAACTTAAATCAATTATTGGTCTATTCCATGCATGTATTAGCAATAGTTGGAAGTACAATTTTCAAATGCCCTTTTGAGATTGTTGCATGCGCTTCTATATTTTAGAATGAGGAGCCCGTGTTTTCTAGAGATGGCAGCAAATTCTTTATGACAGTTCCTGTTAAGCAAGGGGGCCGTGGAGAATATAACCACATAGCTATGTTCCTCATCCAGGTAAGTGCTGGCTTCTTTCTGTAGTTTGGTTTCATTCCATCATGTTCATGAAAGTCTTTTTCGTGTGGTATTCTGCACCTACAGTTAATACCTGTGAAGTCCAGCCATATATCCAACTCAGGGATGTTTTAGGAAGAGGATCCCCACCCTTAGCCATAAATTCAAGCTGTACACAAAACATTTTCAACACTCAATAAAATTTAGTGAGCTACACATGTGTGCTATGAGTTGAGGGCCTTGGGATATAGAATTTAATAAATGGAAAGTGCCCAACCCCTACTTTCCAAGACCTGAGGAAAATCGAGAGATGATTTTTCATTCAACAAATATATATCATCTATTTGGTACAAGTAATATTTTCAGTGTGTTATAAAAGTTTTAAATACCTGAAGCAGTCTAAATGTCCATCAAAAATTGAATGGTTAGTAAGTTGTAGTATACCCACACAAGGAAATGCAGGGCAGATTTTAAAAACCAGGATAAAATAGATTTCTTATGTGTTGTCAAAGATAAAATCTGTGTTATGTTTTTATGGACCTTTTGATAAAAAAAGGATAAAAGGTTATTTTTCCTCTACATTTCAAATGAATGTTAACCAGTTTTATACAGTTTTATCTAATTATAAAAAGAATCAGTGAATTCACAATAAGTAGTTTAAATATGGCAAGTTTAATGAGTCAATTTGAATCTAATTGACAATAAAAATATTCATGAGAAATAAAGTTTCCTTCAAAATCAAATAAACAGTCTCGTCTCACAGGTAAATGTTAATTTATAAAGATAAAACATTGTGGATAAATTGGAATCTTTCTTGAGAGTGTTATAAACAAACTAGCCAAGAATCAATTTCATACTTACTAAGTATAGAATAAATATGAATGTGGTAAAAGATCCCTATGCAACCTGACTACTTTTATGTTCTTAGAACCTTCAAGTCTTGTGCATATTCTCCAATTTTTACCATTATCCATATATGGATGTTATACTTACTAAGTAAGTATAGAATAAATATGAATGTGGTAAAAGATCCCTAAGCAACCTGACTACTTTTATGTTCTTAGAACCTTCAAGTCTTGTGCATATTCTCCAATTTTTACCATTATCCATATATGTATATTTTACCATATCCATATATTTACATTGGGCAGCTCAGTACCTTGAATTTTTTAAATCTGTGTCATAGCTTAAGAGGCAACCCTTGTCCAAGATCTGTACTATTAAAGTAATTGTCATGATTTTAACTTTAATTTTAATCAAAGCTGAAATAAATAATTTGACTATACATAATCTCCACAATAGCAATGTAGATTAATTTTCATAGTATATTATTAAATTGGAAAAATAAGTTATAGACTAATATATAATGTGATCTCATTTATGTTTTAAATAAATGAAAGCATTTATATATGAATAAAAATTTTTGGTAATTCTGTACTCAACTATTAAATGATTATATCAGACAGGTGATATTAAGGGAACATATTTTGGTTTTTATGTGAACTGGAGAAAGCTTCACCAGCAAATTGCTTTACCTGATTAACTTTTGCTAGCTAATTATAAACTTTGTTATCATAAATACTGGGGAAATATTTCCGCCAAAAGAATAAATAAAACTTTCCAAATCTCACAATTGACTGTGGTGACATCTTATTGCATTTTTAAATATCAGTATTTATATTCAAGAAGCTGTATAAAAACCCAGGTAGTCAAAATTACTTACAAATTGTGACTATTTATAAGATATAGTGAAAGGTAGAGAAAGATGTATAATACATCTATCTATATATATATGTATAATTCTGAGATTATCTATTCAACAAAATAAGAACAGAAATGTTGTCTTTTAAAAGTGTGGGGTTGGCAGAGCAGAGGTAGGAGATGAAGATGTTGGCATGTAGAAATTGAGATATTTATGCACATAACAAAAGTTTCTTTACAAGCCTTGGGAAGAAATACCTTCTGTCTCCCAATCAAACCAGTCTGAAATGCAGTCTAATTCATTATTTCTGAAATGTTCAGAAGAACAACTTCATAGAGCAGATGTGTTTACTTTGTTCCTCTTCCATATGGAGATTATAGCAAAGCTTCCATTGAAGTAGAAAATGTTTTGATCTATTCTGGCTACAGTTCAGAGAATTTGTGGTTTGCCTCACTGATAAATAAACATGACTGCATGATTATTTACAGATATTTTGGCAATGTGGCTAAAATTAACTTACTTTGTTAATGAATCAGAGGTCAGTGCTTAGGTAAATACAATTTATTCTTAAGTTTGTACATACACACAATTTTGAACCTCTTTGCCTCAATTTTTAAATCCCTAACAAAAAAGCTCTTTTATGATTTTTTTATGATCAATATATATATATATATATATATATATATATATATATATACACTATAAAAATTTGTAAAATTCTAAACTGAGTAAACTAAACAAAAGATTATATAAAATCAGGGACTTCCCTGGTGGTTGTAGCCAAAAAGTAAGAAGAAGAAAAAAGAGTATATAAAATCAAACATAATCTCATCACCCCAGACTTGCACACTGCAAATCAATTGTTGTATATATTTCCAATTTCTTTTTACATTAAAAATATATCACTTTTTCTTAAAGTGTGCAGTCAAAGCATATATATTGATTTGTAACATTTAAAGAGTAATTTCTGAGCATTTTCTCACATCATTTAATTGCATTCTTAATATTTCATATTATTTGTAAATGTGATTTTAATAGCTATTCAACATCCTGTCTAGTAAATATATTATACTGTTTTAAATGAATTCATTTTCATCATCATATTTATTTCTAGTTTTGATACCAAAAATGATCCAGAGATAAATGTTCTTACCACAAATATATATTTCTAGATGTCAAAAGTTACCTAGGCAAAGCATATGTGTACATATATGTATTTGTTTAGGTTTTGATATGGAATGTGAAACTGGCCCTCCAAAAACGGTGTACTAATTTACCGTCTAAACAGCAGTGCATAGCACCAGTGATGACTTTTTACCCCCTCTTCCTTCCCTTGATACACCAGAGGACTCCACCTAAATTGATGTGCCCAGGGAGTGAGAAATGACAGGAACAGAGAGCTTGGCAGCCGTCAGGAAGACCACCTTTGCAGTACTTGATGCTTAGCTATATTAGAGAGCTTCCCCATTGACTGCAAATATATTCATCTGTTTGATGTATCTTACTAAATGAAATTAGTAAATTTTTGCAAACATTTTTCTCTCTTACACAATCAGCAGGTAAACAAAAAACATTAATTAGAGACCAGGCTACAAAATTAGTGTTTCAGGATATTTTCAATATATAGATTGATGGTTGGCCTTACAAATATTTTAGTCGTTTTTTCCCCCTCATTTACAAGACTTATGCTTGTTAAAATAATTCCAAAAAATAAAAAATAGGAAAAAATTGTGTGTTCCTCCAGTCTACTTTTAAACATGATTATAATTTTATGTTAAGTACAGTATTTTATCCTATTTGAATTTAAATTTTAAAGTATAATTTTCCCATAGTGCTAAACAATTTTGAAATGCAATTCTTTTGAATATTAATATTTAGTTGACTGGATGTACATAGTTAACCATTTTTGTTCAATGTTTAATTTAGTGGCAATTTACTGCAACTATAGATGTCACTATACATAAAGATTATTTTTATTATGAATTATTTCTTTAGCTGTGGTTAACAGAACTGGAATTCCTGAATCAAAAGTAAAATATTTCTAAACCCATATATATTTATATATATATATATTTCCAGATACTTTCTATATGAATATGTGAAAGCAAAATTTATGAGTACGGTTTATCTACTTTTATATATTCCATTAAAGATAATAATAAAAATAAAAACTGGCTCTTCCAAAAATCTTTATAGCTAAAATAAATTTCCTTCTGAGTAGAGTGTGAAGTATGCAGTATTGATATCAGTTTACGTAGTTTCTGAATCAAACGATGCAAACCTTTTTTTACAGCAGACCACTTCAGATCACTTCACATATTTCCCTCTCCCCTTTTCCCCCATAGAATTCTTTATGTAGACTTCTAACTCCTGAATTCCCATATTTGGAACCATAATATCCTGTATCTTACAATGTAAGTTGCAGTCAAGAGAAAGTTTTTTGTCAAATACATGGCCGCCCTTTTCCCCTCTAATATGGGATAAGCAGAGTTTCAGTCATGTTAAGTTGTTCAGATTTATAAGCATAAGCAATTGCCCTGTTATCTTCCAAAACTGTGTTAAATGAAAATTTATATATATGGGTGAATTCATTCACTTTTTCTATCCAGCAATACAAAGTTTTGCTTATGAGAGCTGATGATTTCACTTGGAACAATTTTAAATGCCATTATTCATTACAAATACTGTAGAAAATAGCATGCCCCCAATCCACAATTCTGTCACCCAATCAACCCAGTACAATTTTTTCATTACATTTCACTGCTGTATCTGATTAGGACATTGTCTGAAAACAATTAGTTCACCTCACATGATGAATAGACAGTAAATTAAAGCATTGCTATTTTTAAGCACTGCAATATTTCCATTATTTAGAATCTGTAAAAGTTAAACAGAATTTACTGTAAGAAATTTGAATGAACAGTGTATAATCAGGTGAAAAGCACATGCATCATTAAACTTTTACTGATACCAATATGTTTCCAACTTATAAACAGATACATAAAATTCATATTGAACTTGCTGAGTAAGATAAAATCTCTGCCAATCCAAGGAGAGGTGCCTGAGGTCTAATGTCCCAAATAAAAACACTTTATTTCCTAGATTTTCAGCTCTTTTGAAAATGAATGAAATTACTAGTTTTATTGCTGCCCTTATAAAATTAAAAGTGAAATATGAGTTCAATTTAAAGTATATTGCCATGTTGCCCTTGTCAAAATTCCACAATGGTTTCATATTCATAATCAGTGTTTCTCTTCTACTAAGTGAATATAATGGAGATCATGGTGGCACAGAAAGAAAG